AGTCCATTTCAGCTCACTAATGCCTAAGATATCAATGTTGATGCATTCCATTTCATTTTTGACAACTTGCAATTTTCCCAGATTCATACTTCGTACATTCCATGTTCCGATTTTCAATGGATGTTTCCAGCTGTTTCTCTTCATTTTGATTTGTGGTCCATTAGCAAATGAAGGTTCTGTGAGCTATTCTCTACTTGTAGGAGGCATTTTTTCCCCAGTCGCATTCTGAGTGCCTTCCCACTTTCCAGTCCTGAATCTGACAATGTTTCTCTGCTAATCATAGAGTTTTCAGTGACTAGCGATTCGGAAGTAGTTTGTCACTCTTTTTTCCTAGTCTGTCTTTGTTTGAAAGCTCATCTGAAACCTGTCCACCATGGGTGACCCTGCTGGTTATTTAAAATACCGGTGGCATAGCCTTCAGAATCACAGAAATTTAAACCACCACAGCACGACAGACAGACGAGTGGCGGTTGCGTGGTTGCTTTTAAATAGGAATCTCCTTGTGCTAGGGCCCTTAAGTCTGGCTCAAAGGCGGGATTTCTGTCCTTGGATGTCAATCAAGGGGCAGAAGCGCAGCAGGGGTGACTGGGTTGTAGTGAGATGCTTTGGGCTGGGCTTGTGGGTCTCTAAGTTGGTCGACCCCGCCTCTAAGCCAAGATCCAAAGGTTAGGCTAGGAAGGTGCTCAACCCCGCCTCTAAGCCAAGATCCAACGGTAAGGCTAGGAAGGCTCTCTCGCCTTCCTAGCCTGGGGTAAGTAGGACAGCCTGGCCTGCTCCTGCAGTCTCTTCCCGCTAGGCAGTGTCTCCCCATCGACCTGGTCTCCAGACACCTCTCACCCCACTGCTCCGTGGTCTGGGTTTCATTTAACACCTCCACCAGGTCTGCGCAGCTGTCGCACACCTTTTAACTGCTGCCCTCCATGATAGAAGCCGGAAATAAGGGTAAATTGCTACAATTTGATAAACTTGACCTATACTCATGGAGGTAGTAACTCTAAATGCCATAAGATGGAAAGAGTCTGATTCACATCAAGTATCAATTCTATCCCCTCTGTATACAGGGTAGATAGGGACAGGCAATTTAAACATTGGCTACCTAAAATGAGGGGGTGATAAAGGTTCCAACTGACTGGCTTACAAGTTTTTAAGAGGGAGTTTAGTTTAAGAGTGTGTAGGGAAGATAGAGTCCCCACTGAATAATTTTCATCTTGTCTAGATGGGTCTGGTAAAAAGAGATGGGGATAAGATTCTTATGATTAATAGTGAGTAATTGTTATCATGACTAATTGCGACTGTCACAATTGTAAAGGTAGATGTTCTGTAACAACAACAGGGCAGTAGTTAATCTTACAGTCCAGAAACACAGGACCCTAGGACCACCAACAGAGAAGAGCACAAGTGGAATGCGGGACCTTATCCAGAGAAGCAGCGACACCAGAGATGGAGGCAGAGATGAGGTTGTGGAGAGAGGGAGCAGCTGACAACTCTAGATTCATGGAAAGAGAAGGACCGAGAGGTGGTGGCCAGGAGGCAGACTTGCAGAATATGCTCTTTGGTGGTGTAAATTATTATATATGCCTGAGTGTTTTAAAAAAGCTAAAATGAATAGAGAGAATACTGTTAACTGATGGTACATGGAGGGGATTATAATCATTGTAATGACACAAGGTGTATGATTTGTTGACTGTAAAACTAATGATCTGCCCTATAAACTTTCACTCAATCCACAATAAAAACTTTAAAAAAAAAAGAGAGAGAGAGACCATCTTTGACATAGTCTCTTAAAGAAGACGTATTCCTGGGATTCAAGAGCAGACAGCTGCCTGAAATTGATTGCAGCTCTAGATGCTCTGAACAAGCGCTGTTTCTTTTTCCACTGCTTAGACTAAAAAATAGGTTCTCCTTTAAAGTTTCCAACTTTCTTTTGAAGGACACCCAGCTCAAAATAGATTTAGCAAGTTACTCCACAGTTTATCCTTCTTTTTTCATCTTCCACACTCTCACCAAGTTATTCTGACACATGTTTACTGACACTCTTGAATGTGGACCTAACCTGTGACTCATTAGCACAGATGTCACACGCCCACCTGACACATTGCTACAGACTTCCTGCAGCGGGACGCAAAGTAAATGCCACTTAAAATCCGAAGAAAGGAAATCTATTTTGACTTCTGGAAAAAAAGAAGAAAGGAGGCAAGGTAGGAAGGGAAGGAGGTGTAAGGAAGAAGGAAGCTAGCCAATCAGCAGGTACTTACATTGGTCAGGGGAGCGTGTGCAAACATAGAAAACCCTTCAAAGATATACTCGTGGTCATCATATTCTATAACAGTTGGCCTGTCCGTCTGAGAGCAAACAGAAACACAAACATGAATTAAATCAATGATTCCTTTGCCTGTGCAAAAATCCCTCAGGGACACAAAACAAAAACAGGAAAAGATTGGGGGCTTTGTGGATCCCGTTAAAGTTTTCCCAAACACTAGAGGGAACGTCATATAAAACTTTGCTTTTAAGTGGAATTCTTTTACTTGGTGGAATTCTCTGGCTTTAGATATTGTGTACTGAGACAATCAATAATGTCCATTGTGGTTGCCAGAGAGAGAAGAAATGGAGAGCTATATGGTTCTATTCTCTAGCAACATATTTTATTGGTTTAATCCTACAATACTACCAATTCTGCTGAACTATTCTTCTGAAGTAACACAAATTCTAACAGGAACAACATCGTAATACATTCATTCCAAAGCTCAAAGAGCAAAAGGCATCAGTATCACTACAGTCATGCCAGGACCAGCCTGGAAGGTCCTAAAAGGCCTCAGGGTAACAGAAACTCAAGCCCCAAGAGCTCCGAGGCCAGCTCCTTAAATCAAGGACCAACCGAATTAGCAGTCTTAGCAACTTATTTGCATTTGAAGATAAGTGGAGTCTGATCTTACTGGTAACTTACTAAAAAGTTTGTAGGAGGGGAGACTGTAATTCGATAGTGGAAAAGTCGGCCAGCATTGTTGGTCATAGGACGGCAGGGTTCGATGGCCTGAGGGGGAAAAAGAAACAAAATGAGCTTAAAAGTAAAGTAGCAAAACACCTAGTAGCTAGAATGACATCTGACAAACGAGGACATGTGTGTTCCTTTGCAGACTGGGGTTGGAAAGAATAGGACATATTCACTTTACCACTAAGGACATGAATGAAAACAAAGGCTGGCCACTCATGGGTTCCCAACGTGTTTCCTCTTCTTCTATGAGGTCTTCAGATATGCTACAAGGCTTTCTAAAACTCCAAGGCTGTTTTCCTTTTAATTTACAAAATAAAACTAACTGACCATCAGCTATATTTCCAAATAAACTAAATGAAGACAAGAAAATTTATCTCAGAAGTAATCACAGGAGATTTTCATAGGAAAAAGGATTCAGTCAATTAGATATACTAAGTAAAAATAGAAGACTTCTAAAGTTACGGAAGAGTCAAAAGAAAAGAAGTCTGAGAGGTTGATAGAATAGAATGTCAGAAAGCATGCATGGACCTTATGACAGGAAAAGGACACCAAAATGACTCAGTGGAACCACGAGGCAGTTGTGAAGAGATACCATATGGCCCTTCAAGGAAGGACTCTCCACACACCCCTCCAGCCACCAGCTCCCTTGGGGTCTGTCACAGCAGAGAGTCCCCTTGGCTGAGGTCAGACCCACGTCAGGCACTGAGTCAATGAGACATACAGCCAGCTCAGCCCAACTCTAAGGGACAATAACATTGACAGTGGCAGAGCGCTGATGCCGACTCGCAGTTCAACGTCCCCCTCTGCCCATTCTTGTTTGTATCCTTCTCCCATCACACGTAAAGATTGATAGTAAGTATTGTGCACCTCAAATTCCATCTTAGCATCTGCTTCTGGAAAACTCAGCATGGATCAAACCACTGATAGCAGGAGTAATCCAAGAAAGCAGGAGATAAGGTGGAGCTTTGAAGCTGAATCGCTTACCACCGGCTAGAGACCTTCCTGACACAGACAGCAGGCCAGTTAAAACTTTCACAGATGGTGATTTGGGAAGAGTAAGCCTTGGTGGTGCAGCTGTTAATGCTCAGCTACTAACCAAATGGTCAGTGGTTCAAATCCATCAGCTGCTCTGCAGGAGCACGATGTGGCAGTCTGTTACTGTAAAGATGACAGATAGCCTTGGAAACTCTATGGGGGCAGTTCTACTCTGTCCTATGGTGTCGCTGTGAGTCAGACTCAACTCAGCAGCAAGCAGCCAGGTGGAACGTATCAGGTGTTGGAGAGGTGGAGGAAATGGTAGCTGTGGATAAGGAATACAGGATGGATGACTATTGCTAATAACTGTTGCTGCTCTACAGCATCACCTGGATGTCTTGCTAAGTCTCAGTCACTGGCATGGAGCTAAGATTCAGAGTTTCTAATGAGTTCCCAAGTGATGCTGATACCACTGGTCAGAAGACTCACCGAGCTACAGGAATGTAATAGCTCAGGAGAAAATGTCAAGTGGACGCCAGGTGTGAAAGCCAGAGGGCCTGGTGGAGGTCATCTCCTCCAGTGAGAGGTCAGAGAAAGCCAAGTCTAGACTGATGAGGCAGAGTGGCTGCACTGGACGGCTTTATCGAGGTCAGGGCCCAGGAAAATTTCTGTTTTGCCTCCCAGGCTCCTCTGAACCTCTCAGTAGACAAAGTGGCTCATTTCTCCCTATTTAAGAGCAAGCCCTTACATGTACCTAAGCCCGTGGACCATCCTGCAAAGTAACATCGACACTCCACACAACACCTCTATCCACCTCTCCTCCCCTCCACTAGACCCATTTTGTATTTTTATTTAAACATTTTGTTGTGAATTGAGTGCAGGTTTACAGAGTAGAGTCTAAGTTTTAAATTCAACAAATAATATACTTTGCTTCATTATGTGGTTGCAATCCCCTCCATGCACCAACAGTTAACAGCATTTACCTCCATTCACTTTATCTATTGCATTCCACCCTGTGTCCCCTGCTACCTTCACCTTTCCTCTGCTAACTTACCTCTTGTTGTATATTGTCTGCCCTGTCACCCATATTAACATGTCACTAGGAAGCATCTTTTAAGATGCTCTTGTAGCGTAGTTACTACAAATTGGGCTGCTAATCTCACGGTCAGCAATTCGAAATAACCATGGGTTCCACAGGAGAAAGATGAGGCTTTCTGCTCCCATGAAGATCTGCAGCCTCGGAAACCCTATACAGGGTCTCTATGAGTCGGAACCAACTCCACAGCACATAACCACTACCACCACCAGACCCATTTTTAATTACTGTTTTTACACAGCATAAACCAAAAGTGCTGCAAGAAGCAGGAGTCAGAGGAGTCTGCCTAGGACCAGATTCATGGTATGCATCATCAAAGGGGCCAGGATGCGAAAAAAAAATTGGTTAGGTAAGCCATTTGTTGACTTGGGAGCATTCAAGATTCACAAATTCATACTAGGATGGCTCCTGGTGGTGGTGTAGTGGTTGTGGGGGTGTGATGGTGTGCTGACTTATAACCACTACTCTACCAGAGCTCCACAGGACGGTTCCTAGAAGCCTGGAAGTACAGTGGCTCATGCTGAGCAAAGTTGAAACACCAGAACTGCCAAGGAGTGAGGAAAGGAATGAAAAAACTCCAGGAATTAAAAGAGTGAGTAGAAATTATGAGTGTAATATTTTATTAAAAATAGCTTTCAAATAAAAATTTCTCATTCTTTTTACTCTTTGTGTTAAAACTAAGAACATAGAGCAAAGCACTATCAATTGTTAAAAAAAGAGAAAATGTTCAAGGAAGTCAGCACATTGGAATGGATGCAGAATCTACAGCTGAAAATAAGTTGGGTCACCCCATTCCATAGGAAGGCCCCGCGGGCACGCCATCTACCAAGGCCAAGGGGAATATGCTGGTGAAAGGGTAGCAGCAACATCAGCAGTAGCGCCCCCTGCAGGCCTGGGCCGATGGTGGCCTATAGAAGAGTGCTTAGACGGCCGAAAGGGCAGTCACAGAGCTGAGCTCACTGACAGAAGTGAGGCTGGCATCAACGATGAGGTCAGGTGATAGGACTAAACAGCTAGAAGTCAAGTCACACCATTACTTTTAGGATCAGCAATGTCAGAGTGATAGGCAATGGGGCCTGACCCAGAATGAGCTCTGGGAAGCGTTCACAGAACATGGAGACCTGGGTGGTAGTGGTGGTGTGCCATGGAATCGGTTCTGACTCATAGTGACCCTGTACAGGGTTTCCGAGGCTGTAAATCTTTACGGGAGCAGAAAGCCTCATCTTTCTCCTGAGGAACAGCTGGTAGTTTCAAACTGCTGACCATGAAGTTAGCAGTCCAACTCCTAACCACTACACTACCAGAGCTCCTTATGGAGACCTTTGTTGTTGCTGTAATGTACCATGGAGTCTATTCCAACTCATAGCAACCCTGTACAGGGTTTCTGAGGCTGTAAATCTTTATGGGAGCAAAAAGTCTCATCTTTCTCCCAAAGAACAGCCGGTAGTTTCGAACTGCTGACCTTGAGGTTCACAGCCCGATTCATAACCACTATGCTACCAGAGCTCCTTTATGAAGACATTAAGCACAAAATAAATGGGAAACAAACAAGGACACTTAGTTTAAACCAGCAGAAGAAATCAGGAACAAATAGCCAAGAATAGCCAAGACAGGTCACTCCAATGGAGCCACAGTCTCTTGCCCACTTCCAGACCTGAGCAAAACTTTAGGCTAAACTCTACTGACAAAAGGCATAGCCAAATCCCAGGAGGAAGTAATTGATAATAAATACCACAGCAAGTATACATAGGCATGATACCCCTAAGGGACCTAACACCAATTACTCGAGTAACTATACAGAACCCAACCGGAGACACGTGCACAGATGCTCACAAGGTGCAAGTCCCGCACCATGATCTCTTGCTAACTTTCCAAGACAAAAGAGGAAAAGGGAGGTAGTGATTTGAATCTATCACCAGTTCACAGTCTTTAGCACAACCACTATTAGGGCCTCAAATGAGTTTTAAATAGAAAACTAGGATTTCCATAAACTACTGAAACACAATGTGCTGAATCATAAAGGGATAATCCAGCGTTACTAAAAATAGTTTCTAAAAATAAAAGATAACAAGGGGGAAAAGGAAAAGGATTAGGAGAGAGCACTTATACATGGTGCTGTATGATAAGCACTGGACTGTTCACCGTAAGGTTGGCAGTTCACAGCCACCAGCCACTCCATCCATGGAGACCCTATAATGGGTCGTTGAAAGGCGGAACCGACTTGACAGCATTTAACAACAACAACAGTTATGTGAGGGGGCTTTAAAAAGTTCATGGAATGATTCAAGTATCTTTTAAATCCATTTTTCCACCAACTTTTTGGAAGCCCTCCAATTTGACTTCTTGATGTATTCTACACCTCTTTAGTTGTATGTGCAGTATTCCCAGCAGACCCAGGGATACACAGTATTCACAGCGGAGCAGGAGTGACGGACTCACCAAAGGCCAGTGAGTCTAACAAATGCTACACTGAAGGGGAAGCACAAGCAGAGAGCAAACAGGTGCCTTCTTGTTGGTAAGTGACCCTGTATAGTTTCTGAGGAGCGGCTGGTAGATTTGAACGGCCAACCTTGGGGTTCAAACCGTCACTGCAGTTTGAGTGCTTAACCTACAGTGCCACACCAGGACTCCTTGTTGTTGTTGTTGTTGTTGTTAAGTGCCATTGAGTCTGACCCATAGCGAGCCTGTATAGGGTTTCCAAGGAGCAGCTGGTGAGCCTGAACTGTCGACCTTGCAGTTTAAACGGCTTTGCTGTCTGGCACATTAACCCACAGCGCCACACCAGGACTCCTTACACAACCCAAAAAAGAAAGGATGCACACCTCTAGCACATTAATAAGATCCCATCTCCAGAATACTGTAATCCATAACCATTTGGATAAAAACATGAAAAAAAGATTACAATGTGTGCAGTTTTAGAATACATAAAGGGCCACGTTGTCTATTTTAAATCGTGGACCCTGGAAGCATTTCCAAGTTCACTTGCTACATTTCCCGTTCCTCCCCACAAATGCACACACTCTCTCCTCTATGGGGATCAGTAACACAGACCATGAGGAAATAGGAAAAGACCGACTGGAGGAAAGGATGGCCAAGTGCTTCTGCCTGCTCTGGCTCCTCAACTCTTACAGGCAAAAGCACCCAAGCTAGTTACCTCTTCTCCAGGGTAAATGCTGTGCCGAATTCCTGTGCGTCGGGCTTTCGCGCTGCATTTGCAGAGTGGTCCGTCATTCATCTGTCAGAAACAGAATGCCATTCGTTTTTATTGGGGGAAATCACAGCAGCATGCATGGTGATGCCACAGAGACAGTGCGGGTTGTAAGGTCATGAATACAGAATCGCTGAAGAGGCTATCATGGTTAGAAGATTAAATGGGTATTCCAAAACCAGTAAAGCTGCAAACTGTCTACAGTATCTGATACAGGGAAGCTGGATGACAGCGCTGGCTTTCCGAGTTACTTGTTCGGCCAAGCAGAAAATACCAATGTCAGCACACTGTTGGCCCCATCTCCTCTTACCACTTTTCAGTATGTTTTCCTATTTCCTATTTCAAGAAAATGACTTTTCTACAAGAGAAAAGTTCATTTCATATCCGTGCTATGCTTTGAAGGTGACCTGCAGATTCAAAGTTTTGAGAAGAAAAACTTAAAGGAACCCCTAAAGTAAAGTAAAGGAAACGCCTACTAGAACCAGAAACACTTTTGTATGTGTTTTTCATGGGCATTCATCTTGCTGCCACGACCTCCACATGAGTCATTATTTGAAAAATTACTGGATGCTTCTCGGGTAGAGAGATGAGAGTTAAGCAGAGGGGGTAAGTGAGCAATCCCCGTGACCATGTACTGAAAGAACATTTATTTCATATGTATACTGGGCTTAGACATTCGAAAGAGAAAGATTCCGTCCAGAAAGAGATTCTGCTGAAGCTGAGGTAGCTGGAGAGGGAAAGTTTCAAAGACACAAAAGGTAAAGGGATCGACAGGACAGGAAAAGGCCAGCTATTCCACCAGGGGCATCAGCACGATACGAAGAGAAGGAAGAATGCCTAGGTCACTTAACTACATCTCAGTGGAATGGATCATTTATGTGGAAGAGAGCAAGAGAGAAGACTAAACAGGCCGAACTGAGGTAAAATCTGAAGGGCCTTAAACCCAATACCACAAGCTAGTGAATGAAGTATTTCTTGAAAAGGGATGCCAGAGCTTAGGTTTACAGACTCCTTGGGAAGTGGAACTCCATTTCTCTTTTTACATTAATTTTTTTTTTTATCTTTTATTGTGAATTATGTGATAGTTTACATGGGAGAACATTAGCTTTACATTCATCCTAGCTTATATCCTTACATTGCTATGGTTACAATCCCCTCCATGCCAT